GCACCCCCGCCGAGGGTTCAGATCCCACATACAGACCGGCCGCTCATTGGCTGAGCGAGGTGCAGGAGCAACACCGAGGGTTGCGATCCCGTTGCCGGTCCCGGTCCGGTACGGGTGTGACACTGAGGGTTGCGATCCGTTGCCGGTCAGTGAAAAAGACAAAAAGGAAAAAAAAAAAAAAAACTACCGAACCACCAAACCACCCTTTAATAAAGCTAGGATTAGAGAATGGAAAGTTTTAAGGGTTTGAGTGTTAGGGGCTGCCAATAAATAAGATAGAAGTTGGCTGAAGTTCCAGTTTTAGAGAGGCAGACCTAAAGTCTTGGCTCCCACCTTGGCCCTGGGCTTACATCAGGGTATGAGACTGGAGCAAACTCTCAGGTCGGCCCAAAGCAGCCTTGGGGCTCTGGAGTCCATGGATGGAATTCCACAGATGAATCTTCCTGTGGAGTTTAAGCTGCTTTTTAAGTTCCTTGACCTCTGCTTTACGCTGTTTCTTCTCAGCTCGCAACCTTTGCTTTTCTGCTTTAAGAAAGTTCTTATCAACCTGTTTCTGGAGCCTGTGAGACAATAAATGGAAGTCTTATGAAAAAAAAAAGCCCTCACGAACAAATCTTGAAGCTATCTGGAGCCAACTGCAGTCTCCATCAGTGTCTAGTTTTGTTTCTTAAATTCTTTTTGTAATTATCATTTCCATTTCATTAGCTTTGGATAATTGTCGTTATTGTACAACAGTTGAAAACAAGAACTAAGGGGACTATCTGTAGTTTTATGACTCATACCTTGTCACCAGAACCAAGAATTCAATCAGAGAACAAGCATTCCCATGTATATGGTTTTACCTGACTTGTTCCAGAGCAGCAGGGAGACGAGGAGTAGAGTACTTTGAGTGAGAGAATGGTTCAGAGGGACCCACAATTGGTCTCCGCAACTTCATTAGGACATGGTTAGTGTCATGGGCATATGGCCCTGCTTCACAATTCTCACAGATATTGTAGGATGGGCATAGGCTGTGGGGAAAAGAATGACACAGTACAGAACGAGAGAGTAGGAAGTACCTGAGGTAGGGAGATACACATATCAGACCAGACTTCTTTGTCTGTTCCATCCCATGCATTGTCTCAATTTTCCTCATTAATAAAATGAGAATAATAACACTTTTCTTATACCCATTCCCAAGAAAAATCTATGGGAGGAAGCAAGACATGAAAGCAACTGGAACAACAGGGGAACTATCCATAGTGATCTAATTTTGTTTTGGGGAACATAATTTTGTCTGGCTCTGATAATCCAAACACATATCTAAACACAACAATCTGAGGTTACCCCTCAACCTACAAAGGATGTGGGTAAAGAGCAGCTTATGCTTCTAATCCAGAGCTACTACATCTAATACTCAGAGATAGAGCACACCTAATTTCCCCTTACCTACCCAGAATGCCAGGAAGGTCACAGCTCTAAGGCCTACCAATAGCAAGCTATTCCTAAGTGACTGCTTACCTACACTGGTAGCGCACACCAACGATCCGTCTTTGGCAGCTGCTGCAAGCAATATGCCAGCTGAACTGGTTTTCTGGCAAAAACAGTGTTTCCTCTGAAATAGGCATTGAGACTTCTGAGGGACAGGAACCCAAGGGTGGGTTCTGGAGGACAAGCTTCTCACGTAATTTCTGTTCAAGCTTCTCAACCGTTTCTTTAACCACTTGCTCTCTGAACTAAAATACAGAGAAGAAGGTGGGGGAAAAAACTCAAGTTGCAATATTAGAAAAGTGTAATGATATTCATAGATCTGAAACTTCACTGTTTCTAATAAGAACATAATAAATAACTAACAGCTACTGAACGAATGAACAGAAACATAGCCAAAAAAGTCTATTCCTTCTGCAGCTAAAACAAGAGGAAATAGCAAGAAATCCTTTTGATGAGTAGCTTTCTATTTTTCTCATATTCTACCTATGCCATCACTGCTGCTAAAACCTAAGCCAGAGGAAACACTCACTGTCTCCAGGTAGCTTGTGAACCAGTCTGGGGGCTTGTCTTGAGGCTGGTCTATGTCACATGAAGCAAGTGGAAACAACTGTAAGAAAACACAATCCAAGATCTTGGAGGTTACTTTTTTCCTTTCTATTTAAAAATAATTTTCCTGAAATGTATGATTTTGAGGTTTCCTTTGTCAAATTATACAAGCATATAGTTAAAAAAAAAAAATAGTCACAGCATGGAGTATAAAAGGAAAACAAAGTCTCTATCCTACCCTGCTCCCACTTCTGCAAAAGTAAACCACTGTTACCAGTTTCAAAAAGTCAGAGACAGAAATAATTATAATTACTCCCAAATCTTTGATTAACACTCAAATCTTGGATCAAAGACAATGGGGCATATGGTTAGAAAGTTGAATAGACAGGTTCATCCCCTCCATACCTGTGCTGCAGGTTCCTCTGGAGTCTTCATGTCTGATCCTAAGACTCTTACCAGTGAAGAATAATGTGCAAGTGGCTTCTTCCCTGCTCTGGCAGTTAGTCGTTTTTCTGCTACAACTGGGCGTGGGGCTTCATCAACAACATGGTGCCCTTCATGTACTTGCATCTGCAGTTGGTTTCCCTGCTTAACTGCCATCTGAGAGCATATATTATGAAACAAAAACATACCATGTGATTCTCCTTTCCCAAATTAAATTTTAAAGACACCTAAACAGAAGAGTATGGTGAATTATACTGGAAAATATCAGGATTTGTGTTTGCTTTATTAGATGAAAATGACATATACAATGTTAACACTCTGCCTGTTGTTTCTTTGCCAAGAATGTTAACTAGGAATGGTTTTGTTAGTAAAACCACAAAAGTAGGTTTTTGGCACAGCAACTTATTAGAGATGAGATTTTTCAGTAACTGAGTTACCACTTTTCTGTTTAACTGGTTTTTATATACGACTCCATCTATGGCCTCTAATTTCATCTTTCTAAAAAAGTAAATCCCAGACTAACAGAACTGAAGGAACTTAAAGCTGTATCCTATAATTTTATAAGCATTTACTTTTCCATTAAGAATATTACTTTGGAAAGTAAGCTTAATGGTCACATCTCTTTGAAGGGCACCTTCCTAAAAAAACCTATTTTGAAATCTGTACTTCCAGGAGTATTTGGGGTTCCACGAAGGCACTCCAGTGTCTAAGAGATTAGGGGCCAAGTCAATGGGGTTCAACCCTCATCACTGTCACCCACAACTGTTCTTTTATCTACTTTTATACATTAGACTTTTCAAGCTTCCATTTAAAAACAGCAGGGTAGGGCCGAGCCCATGGTGCACTCGGGAGAGTGCGGCGCTTGGGAGTGCAGCAGCGCTCCCGCCGCGGGTTTGGATTCTATATAGGGATTACCGGTGCGCTCACAGCACTCACTGGCTGAGCGTGGTGCAGCCGGTCTCAAAAAAAGACAAAAAAAAATTAAAATAAAAATAAATAAAAACAGCAGGGTATGTATGAGGTGATGGATACATATTAACTTGACTGGGGTAATCATTTCACAATGTATACGTATTAAAAAAAATCACATTGTATACATTAAGTATATACAGCTTTTAAAAATTAGAAATTCTTTTTTTTTTTTCCTTTTTGTCTTTTTTCGTGTCCGGCAACGGATCGCAACCCTCAGTGTCGCGCCCGTACCGGACC